TTCCCTGCCCTCCTGTAGCTTCCCCTGCCCCCTTATAGCTTGCTGCCCTGCCCCTTCCTGTAGCTCTCTGCTGCCTGCTTGTAGTTTGCTGCCCCATCCTCCTGCAGATCCATGATCTGGTCATTACACTGTTGGATATTATGCCTCATGGCATAACGGATAATTAGCATATTCTTCTCTTATTATATAGGATTCTTTATTGTTGAAATTACTACCTATGTTCCCCTTTTTCCCTCATTTCCCCCCTCTAGACCACTCCCTCCCACCCACCCACCCCATGCCTTCAGCACCCTGTTGTCTGTGTCCATAGGTTATGCAAATATGCATACAGGTTTTTGGTTAATTACTTCCCACTCACCCACTCTCCCCTGCCTTCCCTCTGACATTCCACACACTGTTCGATGCTTCCATGTTTCTGGGATCCTCTCCATTTATCAGTTTACTTTGTTACTTAGATTCCACATATGAGTATGATCATGTGATATTTGTCTTTCTCTGATTAACATATTTCACTTAGCATGATATTTTCCAGGTCCCTCCATGCTTTCTCAAAGGGTAAGAGATTCTTCTTCTTTACTGCTGCATAGTATTCCATGGTATAAATGTACCACACTTTTTTATCCGTTCATCTACTGATGGGCACTTGGACTGTTTCCAACTCTTAGCCGTTATAAATTGTGCTGCTATGAATATAGAGATGCATACATTCTTTCTGATTGGTGCTTTGGGTTTCTTAAGATATATTCCTAGAAGTGGAATCACTGGACAGTTCTATATTTACTTTTTTGAGGAAACTCCATATTGTTTTCCATTATGGTTGCATCAGTCTTATGCCACATTTTAAAAAGTGAATGGAAGATTTGGTGTTTGGAAACAAGGAAGGTTGTGGATAAATTATTGGTTATTGGTTGAAATACTCTGCTCTTACAGAAGAAAAGTGTTTAATGCAAACAATTCTTCCTGTACTAATTTATATTTTATAAAACATAAAAAGTCTCTTGAATACTTCAGATCAAAGGATAGTTTCAATAAGATTTTCTGCAATTAAGCACATTCTTTTGACATTAAGAAGCAGTATGAAATGTACTATGTAAAATCCAATTAATTGGGTATAAAATTCAGACTCTGCAATTATCTGGTCCTGCAAAACCGAGGTCTAATTTTATATACTATCTATCAAAAAGGGATATGAGCAAAATTATTTATATAAATCCAGAATGAATTAATCACTTTATTTCCCTGCCTAAAACCATTTAATGGGCCCCCATATCTCTGAGGACAAAGCTCAGACTTTTGTAGAACATTTATAGGGCTTCCCTCTCCAGCCTCTTATCTCCCCCACACCACCCCGGTTTCTCTTTCAGTTACTCCTCATTCTGACCTCTCAGACATCACCATTGTTTTTCTCAAACTTTCTCCCCCTCTCCCTTCTTCCCAGCATATAGTAAGCACTTAATAAATACTGTTTCATTACTAATAATATTATTACTGACAATAAAGTGGACATGTTTAAAATATATTTTCAAGGTAGAGTATTCAAGTGTTTCTGAGTACTTGTGTGTAAGAGGTAATAAGGTAAAGGGAGAAACCGAAGATGACACATTTTAGGCTTGAGAAAGGAAAAAAAAATTAATTAAGAAGTTAGAGCTAATTATTACAAATGAGAAAAATAGAAGCACTGAGTGATTACAAATTTTATTTTGTTTAGACTAAATTTAAGATGCATATGTGAGGGGATATGAACATGAAATAGGAGTCAGGAGTTTGTATACCCAGAAGGGGGTAAGAACTGAAGATAGAGTTGGTATTTAAAGCAACAGCAATCATGAAATCCCTCAGGAAAAAAAAAAAAAGATATAGAGGGAAAGTGTAAATGGCCATTTCAAGGCACAGAGGAGGTAGAGTAGGAAACAGAGGAAGCTGTGAGAAAGGAGGAAAACTGCAAGAGTGGTGCTCTGCAAGTTGTTCAAGAAAGCGGGGAGTGCCACGTCTGTTGAAGGCTGCAAACAGGTGAAGTAAAATGAAACCTAAGAAGTGACCACAGAATTTGGCCACGTGGAGGCCATTGGTGACATTGACAAAGGCAAGCAAGGTGAAGTAGGGGCAATGAAAGTGCATGTAGCGTGGGCTGCAGGAAGAGGCAAGGAGAAAAAGTGCTGACCGCGACTCACCATAGATTTCTTAAGCAGTTATGCTAAGAAGAGGAGCAGATAAATAGAGCCCTATGATGGTGATAGGGGATAAAGGGAGGATTATATTTTACTGCTGGGAGATATAGACCATGTTTGTGAGATAATCATTTCAGAGAGAGGAAGACATCATAACATGGGATAAGGAGATAGCATCTACAGTATGAGGCCCTGGAGGACACAGGAGATGGCTTTGTACAGGCCAGATGGAAGAGCTGGCCAATGAGTGCAGCTCTTCTATGCTACCGTGTTTCCCCGAAAATAAGACATCCTCCGAAAATAAGACCTAGCGCAACTTTGGGAGAAAAAATTAATATAAGACAGTCTTATTTTCGGGGAAACAGGGTAACAAGAGGGAAGGTAAGGACTTCAGTACATTGTGCAGGTTTGTGAATGCTTTGGTGTAGGAAGGTGACTACTTCTGTTTTCTCCTTGGTGAATGACTTGAGGTTATCAGCTGGGAATTGGGTGGAGTTGCGAAGGAGAGGTTTGAGAAGAAGGGCTGTGAAAATGTGGTCTGGAGCATGGGGAAAAGAATACACTAGAGAATATCCTCAGGCAGAATTTCCTGAATGCCATTTGCAATTTGTCATCATGAATTTGAAATAAGACAAGCCATTATAGTGGTATTTGGGTGTGTTTCCTCCAGCAAATGTCAAACCTAACCTCACCCTGCTACGCCCTCCAACTCCTGTCCCTACTTTAACTTGGCTTCATCTGTTAGTCTTGCTGGATGCCAGTGCTGTGGGAAACCTGTGTACCCTCCAAGCCTATATCTGATGCTCTCCTTGGTCTCCGTTACCTCGGTTATAATCACACTGTAATCCACTTACTACTTACCGGTATCTGCCAGCAGAGCATAAGGTCATAGGAGGCAAGGACTTTCTTATCTATGTTGTTCAAGTTCTACCCCAACTTTAACATAGCACTTAGCATACAGTAGGTGCTGAACATATACGAATTGAATAAAAGAAATATGGCCCACAGGGCAAATGCCAATGTCTCCAATTTATACATTAGCATCAAGACCATTTGCATTGAATGTTATTGTAAAAGAATTCTTACCTATTTATTACCAAAACACTAACAATTTTTTTGAGACTTATAGTTCAGATCCTCTTGCTGCAAGTTTCCAAAGTCACTATGTATGGTAGTATACAAGTCAACTTCATTTTATTAAGTTTTGCCAAATAAACAAATAAACTAGACAACAGTGTGGTGGTCATCTGAAGGAAAGGGAATGGGAGGAGATAGTAAAAGGTAATGGGATCAAATATTTGGTGATAGAAGGAGATTTGACTCTGGGTGGTAAGCAAATAATGCAATAAATATACAAATGATGTATTATACAATTGTACACTTTAAATCTATATAATTTTATTAACCAATATCACCCCAATAAATTTAATTTTAAAAAGAAGTTTGCATTTTAGCTGATTTCTTTTCCTCAACTCTATCCTCTAAAAATGGTGATTAAGGAAGATTTTTATCATATAGTGGCAAAGGTAAAAGGAGAAAAATAAGCACCAAAACTTGTATTTAAATGTGTAGTAGAACTGCACATCACATTTTACTACTAAGTAGTTTTTCTTTTTCAAGTTAGAAACCAACAAGTTTAAGAAAAAACATACTTCATATTCCCCACATATTTAAATATATGTTAGAATGATTAGGAATATTTTGAGAAGACCTAACTTAGATTTAAAGTTAGTTTTCATACAAATAATAAATTTAGCACACAGCCAATAGGGATATTCACCTCTCTGTTATTAAATAACAGACATGTTTTTCCTTTGATTGTAAGTCATCATAGTGACTTGTCCAATCAACAAATATTGTGACATTTTACAAAGATGCAGGAATGCATGCAGTAGCTTACATGATCTTCACAACATCCAACAATCTTGAGATGTACTTTAAAAATTATACACACACACACACACACACACACCGTATTTTCCTATCAGAAAATATGATCAAAGAACACTATACAGTCTTGAAGATGAGTAATACATCCTTGGCTTCAGGAGCCCCCAGGGCATCATGTATATGAGAAGTCAAAGTCTGGGTTGGAAAAGAGTGACTAAAAGAAATTACAAGGAACCATGTGCAAGGGATATTGTACAGCAGTGAAAAGAACACTGAGCTGAGAGATGGCAGCCAGTGGAAGTTCATCTGTAAAACAAGAACTTGGACTGGATGACTGGTGGGGACACTGTCCTTGCCCTGATGTCCTCTGGCTCTGCCCTAGGAGGCTGGCCGGCTGCCTTACATCCAGGTGCTCCCTTGCCCTCTAACTTCTGCTTAGTTCTGCCAATGAGGAGGACCCATGGCAGGAGGGGTAGGGGAAAGAAAGTTAGGGATTCCATTTGGACATCCTTGTAAGGTCCCAAAGATTGTGAATCCTCTCAAGGCCTCTTGCATTCTATGACTCTCCCCCTGCATGGGGTGGTGTTCTCCAGGCGTGCACCCATGGGCATGTACTACTCCTATAGTCCTCCTATGCCTTGCTCACATCTGTGGTATCAGGACTTTTGCAAATAAACTCCCCCCTGGGTTATCCCAATTCAAACACCGCTGGAACTCTGCTGATACCGCAAGAGTCCTCCCAGCTGTCATTGCACACATGCTTATTTGTGAACTACTGAACTTGGTTTTCTTGTTCTTTCTCCAAAGTAATGACTCCTGGCTTTTACAAGTGAAGTTCAGATGGTGCAAAACTTAGCAGAAGAAAGAATTCTGAGTTCATTCCCTTTTCTTAAAAGTAAGGACATCATCTAACCCCAAAGAAGACAGACGTCAAAAGTAAGTAAATAAGGGCACAGCTTTATTTCACTACAAGGCAGTAAGTACATCATCGTATCAAAAGTTCAGTGCTAGTGATCTTGTACCAAACGTTGTTAAGGCAGCTCCGGAACCTAGTCTCCTTGGCCCAGCTGCAAACACAGGCTCTGTGTGGCAGTTCTGAGACCAGACACTTCAAAACCAAGGGGAATGCTGATCAAACACATAACATCTGAATTAAGGAACAGTCAGGCCGAACTCAAAACAAAACGTAGGACACCAATAACATAGATCTCCCAAAAAAAAGAAGTGCAACCTTTATGAACCACAGTTAACAACAACAACAAAAAATAACAAAAAACAAATGCATAAGTCTCCCAAATAAGTTTTCCAATGTATTACAAAAGGGAAAAAAAGTATACATATAAAAAATAAAAAAGTCTGAAATAACTAGTGCATAGTCAATTATCTAACACCAAGTCTCTGTCCAAAGCTCTATTGCTCCTCTCATACTAGCAGCATGTCTACAGGCTAAGACCATAGCAGCAAGACACATCTTTTCATTTGGCATTTACAAAATTAAATTACTGAATAAAAATATAATTTGTTTTATAAAACTATTTCATACAGTAATAATTTTTAAAGCAAGCCAACAAAAAACTCACCAAATGGTTTAGTACAATAAGTGTACCTCCAATGTTAGTAACCATAAATGAGCATTTACAATCTTGATTAATTGTCCCATGGTATTAAACCAACGTTTATAGTAATGCATTGTGTTTAGTGATTGAGAAAAGTGAAATATTGGAGTACCGTATTTTGGGCAAAATTTCAAAAATCTCATCATGAAAAAATACTGGGTCTGTTGGATCCTCTAAAATACAGGTAAATCGCTTTATGTTAAAAACATCTGCACTAAGATATTAACAACTGGCTACAATTCATTACCTAATAATTTAGGTAAGACTGTTATTTATTTTTTTTAAAAAATCCTTTTAGTTGGGTGAAATCTGATAAGATTTCATCCACCTAAAATGCACTTGGTGCTGCTCTCAACTGTTGTACCACAACAAAAATAGGTTCTTCTCCCTTTCATGAAAAGTTTCATGTAGAGGAACGACATATCCTAAGTCGACGTGAAGTGTTCTGAAAACCATAATGCTTGTCTGGGAACGTCTCACATGACCAGAGTCCGGGTTGAGAAGGCATTCCCATATTTCCGAGCCTGACCGGTGGCTGTCACCTGATCTTCCATCTTCCCACAGGATGCAGCTTCCCAGGCCCCGCTACAAGGCTGGTGGGAAAAAGAGGACAACAGCAAAGTCAGACAGGAAGCACATACATTAGCATACAAATGGAGTCCCAATCCTAGCACAGCCGGCAGAAGGGATTTTGACCTCCAGATAGCAAGTGGTGGACACCAGGAAGCCTTGGTCAGATAAAACCTTAGCCTCTCTGACACCCAGGAATCCAGCAGAAATTGTTTATACCTAAGAGAAAAAAAAAAAATCCACTCCAGTGTCTTAAGATATAGTCACATCTTCATACTTGAGTGCTTTTTGTCTATTAGGTGATTTTACAAAGACATGAATGGGATAAAAATTCCCAAAGGTGAGCTCTAGTTACTCATTAAGCAAATTTGTGATGCGTGAATTTTCTGAAAGAAGAAGCTCTTATAAGTGCTAGAATTGATCACCAATTACTAACCATGGCATATGGTTGTTGTTTTTTTAATAGCAATTAAATAAATAATCTAAAATATCTGGCTGAAGCCGGTTTGGCTCAGTGGAAGAGCATCGGCCTGGAGACTGAAGGGTCCCAGGTTCGATTCTGGTCAAGGGCATGTACATTGGTTGAGGGCACATCCCCGGTGAGGGGTGTGCAGGAGGCAGCTGGTCAATGTTTCTCTCTCATCGACTTTTCTAACTCTCTATCCCTCTCAATTCCTCTGTGTAAAATCAATAAAACATATTTAAAAAAAATAAAATATCTGTTTACCAGGATAACTTACTTATTATTTTTAATTAAATCTTTATTGTTGAAAGTATTACATATATTTCCTCCCCCCCTCCCCCATTGACCCATTGATCCTTTCTAGCCCCCATCCTCCACTCCTGGCCTTCCCCACACTATTGTCTGTGTCAATAGGTTATGCATTATGCATACAAGTTCTTTGGTTGATCTCTTCCCACCCAGCCACTCCTGCTTTCCCTCTGAGATTCCAGCCTGTTCCATACTTCTATGTCTTTGATTCTATTTTGTTCTTCAGTTTATTTTGTTCATTAGATTCTAGAAATGAGTGAGATCATATGATACTTGTCTTTCTCTGACTGGCTTATTTCACTTAGTGTAATACTTTCTGGGTCCATCCATGTTGCCTCAGGATAGCTTACTTCTCAGACACACTGGAAGATGGAATGGGCAGCATCCAGACCCAGGCCTAGTGCCTGGCACCTCACACATATGACCTCATTTGCACAGCACTGCTACCCCAGGAGGGGGGTTCATTCTCTCCTGAGTCAGGCAGAAAACAGACACTCGGAGTGGAGATAATTTGCCAAGGCCACTGCCAGGGTAAGTGATGGCATGGCTTTGAGTCTAGGTCTGTCTTCCACACAGCCCAGGCTCCTGCCTTTCCTCCATGTGACTCCAAACCAAAAATAAGTACTCTCCGTGCCCAACTTAGTTCCCGAAAAGATCTGAGATGCTCACAAAATAAAGACGAGATAACAGAGTTTTAAAAGTGGACAAGGCAGGATTACAGAAAAATGTATAAAAATTAATAATAATTGTACTTCCCACGAAGCACAATGCAGATGCTAAGTGTAAACCTCAATTTTGGTCCTGGGCTCTCCAGCAGTCAGTGCAAAGAGGGAAATAGAAATACAAACTCAAATTTAAACCAATGGTATTAAAAAAGCACAACTATGCCTGGTATTGACATCAAAGAGATTTTTCTTTTCCACCGGACAGAAGAAAAAGAAAAGAAAGGCCTCTGCTTTCTAGAGCCTCGTGTTCCCTTCAGGAAACAGCCAGAAGAGTGTGTTTGGAGTGTGGTGCCAGGCCCAGGGGAGGAGGTGATGGGACACCCAGGAACTGCCAGGGCAATACTCTAGGGCAGTGGTCGGCAAACTGTGGCTCATGAGCTACATGCGGCTCTTTGGCCCCTTGAGTATGACTCTTCCACAAAATACCACGGCCTAGACGAGTCTATTTTGAAGAAGTGGCATTAAAAGAAGTTTAAATTTAGAAAATTTGGCTCTCAGGAGAAATTTCAATCATTGTTCTGTTGATATTTGGCTCTGTTGACTAATGAGTTTGCTGACCACTGCTCTAGGGCAATGATTTCCAATGGTTTCCATCTCATGGCACACATCAACTAGTTACTAAAATTCTGATTTGACAAAACAATAGATATACTTTTGATTCATTCACACTGGATGGCTATTGTGCCATTTGTTGTTGTTATTGTTAATTTTCACTCAAGAGTACTTTTCCGTTGAATTTTAGAGAGTGGAAGAGAAGGGGAGAGACACAAATGGAGAAACATCCATGTGAGAGAGACACATCAACTGGTTGCCTCTTGCACATGCCTCGACCAGGGCCAGAGATTGAGTCCTTGACAGGAATTGAAACTGACACCCTTCAGTCCATGGGCCAGTACTCTATCCACTTAGCCAAACCAGCTAGGGCTGTGTCATTTTTTTTTTTAAAAATTGAAAATTGAAGGGAAAAGTGGTCAGTATCTAAATAGTCAGGTATTGCATATTTTGAAAATTCTGCAGCACACCAGTTGAAAATCACTGCTCTAGGGAAAGGGTAAGAATAAGCAGGATTTAGATAGATTGGACAGAGAGGATTGTAACCCAAGTGGAGAAATATCATGAAGAAGTCAGGGAGCTGAGACTTGTACGTTCTTTGTGGGAGGACCTAGGTGAGAGGAAGAGATACAGGCATTAAATGACCCTTCACAGGTGCTTACAACATACCTCCCATGCTTCCAAATGTTTTACATGATCATCTCCTTTAATTCTCACACGACACACGTGAAACACTGCACCTGTTTTACAGACCAGCAACTTAAAAGAGAAAATTTAGGCAACATCCTCAAGGTCACCCAGCTAAGAAGCGATGAAGCAAGAATATGAACCCAGGCCCTAGTGAGTGTAAGAAGCTGCTTCCATTAGAGTTCTTATCAGTAGACATTTGTGGGGTCAGGCCAGAAAGGCCATGTAGTGTTGGGGTGTCAAAGTTATCAGACTTTAGCAAAGAAGTATGATAATTCTGACTGAACATGGTAATGGGGTTTCCTCACCTAGTGGCTGGGACACAGTTTCAGTGACATAAGGTTTATAGCACTATGTGTCTAACTTGCAAACTTTCATAGGACACACACTGGGTTCTCTCACTTCTGCCTAATCTGCCACCCATCTCCACCACCACCAACAAAGGCACCGGCCGATTTTACACATGTTTACTCTGAAGGCTCAGAGGCTCCACAAGTAACCTGAACTATATGACGTAGCAAGGTGGATTGTAATAGCAATATTTTCCTGGAAATGGATCACAAAGATGGCAGGACAAAAATGGGTTGAATTCTGCCACTGAGCCACTTTAATGTTTTCCTAAACAAAAATTATCAGGGTAGTTACAGCCTCCTATGAAATAATTCTGAATAGGTGATGTTTCTCTAGTTTCAAACAAATAGATAATTCTCATGCAAATTTCATGTTTTAGTTACTTGAGTGTTAACATTTTCCAGTGCAGTACTGAAACACCAAATTGACATAAGAAATCCAATTAAAAAATAAAATGCAATGCTAAATTTGAAATCTTGAGCTCACATTTGTAGTCATTGTAGCAGTGTTACATATAATAACTACCATTTGAGAGCAAACAGCTTAACTATAATATTATGCAGTGCTTGAAGTATTTAGATCTTACAAAGCTAGTGTTTGAAGATGTAGCAAAATAAAATATCTTAATATACTAATACCCTATATGTAAATCTAAAATTACATAAAGATACACACAAAAATACAAATTTTGAGAGAACGCATTCAAAAAATGGAGGGAAAGTGAGAAGGGAGATAAAAGTGAGGAGCAGGGAAGAATGTTTCTGTTTTTCTTGGTTAAGAATTTTTCTACTTAATTGTGCTTCAATTAATATAGAATTGAATTCTAAAATACGATGTTGACACAGTTTTATGCTTGCTTTTACTATACCTCTTGGTTAAAGTCAAGCTCTGATCCTTGGCTATATAATTCTTAAGTTAATTCAGAATTCCTAAAATATGTTTGGGAAAATCTAATTCCAAGTATTACCAGTTTAATATATTTTCAACTTGAAATGCGGCTGTGTTCTTGCTGGATCTCCCACACACTGTGGCTTCATTCGTATTTGGCTCTCCTCCAGCCCAGATGTTTAAAATATGATCAGTATAAGGAAGACACCATATATTTTAAAGTAGGATTTCGAGATAAACTTTTCAGTCAACTTAAGTCAAAATGGAATTTACCAAGAAATAAATCAAATGGACTGAAATATTCAAATTCCAGAAAGCAGAGCAATTCAGGGGCATAGAAGCCCTGAAGCTCAGGGCCTATGAAGGGCAAGACGACTGGGAACACCTGACTCTCCCAGTGCAAACACCAGGACGGAATACCACTGTGTACAAGAGCCACTGTGTGCAGAACAATAAGCCACAGGTACGTGTGCGGGCACCTCCTTTTCTGCACTGTGCGCGCACAAAGCAAACACTTGTTACAGAAATGAATGAATAACACTGGTCAGAGCGGACATATACTCACACCTACTGCATGAAAGGGAGGGCAGAAGGCAGAGTACTTGGGTAAGAAAAGAAACACTCAGGTCCAAAACCCAAATGGCAGCTGCCTCCTCTTGTGCTATTTCCTTCTCCCTCCTTAACTTGAAGCCCTGGGGCCCTGGGCCAACTTTTCATGCAGACAGAATAATCTTGACAAACAAGGATTAAATGTCTTTGTGCTGGAAGAAGATTTTTTAATGCTGTCATGTAGATTTTTTTTTTTTTTTTGCATCCTCCTCATTCCCTCTCTTTAAATTTTAGTTTCATTTACAATAAAGAATTGATAAGAATTACGGATTTGTGCACATGAATTCTTATTAGGTTACTAACCTATGGTAGTATTGCAGACATGTCACTCTACCCAGATTTATTTCAACATTAATAATCCTACTGCACATCCTCCTCCTCTTGCCTGCAAGTCACCTTGCTTATCCTATAATCTACCTTTACTGCCCCTGGGCAGAAG